CGCCCCCACCTAGAGTGTGAAAGCCTTTTTCCTGCAAAGGTTGGCAGAGGCCAGGATATACGTGAAAAAGGACGTTACCTACAGCTCCAGAGGAGCGCACCAGGTCAGAGATTTTGCTTATTTTCATTTTGAGAAGTAATTTGTCACTTATTAGATGAGCAGGGAGAGAAATCTTGGTAAACTCTCATCATCCAGGATGTCCTGGTCTTAAAACACGTAGGTAGATGGACACCACTTTCCAAAACCCATGGAAACTGTCACCACTGAGAATCACTACGATGACTAATTTCTGCAAAAGTCAACAAGATGGAGAACAGGAATAACATTATTTAAAAAGGTATTTTGCAACAAACGACATCTATTCCCTGTTTCTTAGGAAGGGCATGTCTATTTAAATGTTGGTTTCGTCCACCTGGCTTCCTCTCCTATTTGAAACATTAGGCTAGAAAATCAATTTGGGGCTATTTAAATTAATAGTCAGGGTGGAGGGAGTTCTCTGTAGTTATGATGAAGATGGGATGCTTGCATGGTAAATTCATATTTTGGTGAATGCTCTATATATCATTTAATGAGCTGTTCCTTTTTGATTTTCCTCTTGATGAAAAACATTGGTGCTTGTATCAGGACCAGTCTAGTATGCCTTGAATTCTCCCTTTTTTCCCATTCTGTCTCTACAGACTAATTTCTGGTCACAAGGGAGTCTTGCTGGTCTCAGTTGTTCATCTGCTGAACAATCATTGCGCTCTTGGCTTTTTTAGGAGGCTTGTCTTGTGAAAAAAAAAATAGCAGATACATTTTTGCTGATTCCCTGTGAGTCACCCACCCAGCGGCAATGGCAAAGCCGGGAGGTAAAAATGAGGGGGGAGAAGGGAATTGGCGAACGGGCGGTGACCTGAAGCTTTGACTCAGAGCAGGCCATTTCAAGTTGTTTCCAAATGACAAATACTTAATTATTATCTCCAGCCATCCTGCCACTGGGGGCATGTGGTTACCAAGCAAGGTTTTTAAAAGTCTGTTAATAAAGTTAGAGGCAACTGGTGCTCACGTGGGCCATGGTTCACTGGGCCTGAGCACTGAGATACGCCTGACCGGCAACGGAGGGTAAATAAGGAATCTACTCAGAGACAAACCATATTTATTAAATTATTTTGCCTTGTAAAAAGCCGTGCATACCAGAGAAATCAGAAACATTGGCTCTCCCACCTTAGGCACCATCTAGCCAGAAAATGTGCAGTTCCCCCTCCCTTCACCCTGCCCTGCAAACCTTGGTGGCTCCCATACCAGCAAGAAAAAAAATGGCCATCTACCAAATCTGTTGCTTATCTCAGCTAACCGGCTTCCTCTAATATCAGCACATATTTCTGCTTTTGTAAATCTGTCCTTCCCTCCAGAATGGGGTGCCAGCAGGACCAGGAATGCTCTGGATCTAGAAATGTGCTGGTTGGCAGGAGGAACAAAGCAATTGCTCACCCAGAAGGGAAAAACAGGACTAGAGCTTTTGTTCGCTGGGGAGAAATGGCGCCAAGTCAAGCCAACAGCTTTTGCAGGCAATTGGAAAGGTACCACTGGATGCTGCTTGTAATGGCAGACATTGATATCAGGCATTAATCACAAGGGCAAGTGTAGGTGCTACACCTGGGGAGGAATAACCCCCTGCACCAGGACAGGTTGGGGCTGACCTGCTGGAGAGCAGCTCTGAGGAGAAAGACCTGGGAGTCCTGGTGGACAACAGGATGCCCATGAGCCAGCAATGGGCCCTGGTGGCCAAGAAGGCCAATGGCATCCTGGGGGGCATCAGGAAGAGTGTGAGCAGCAGGTGGAGGGAGGTCATCCTGCCCCTCTGCTCTGCCCTGGGGAGGCCCCATCTGGAGCACTGGGACCAGTCTGGGCTCCCCAGTTCCAGAAGGACAGGGAACTGCTGGAGAGGAGACAGCAGAGGGCTACAGAGATGATGAGGGGCCTGAAGCATCTCCCTTACGAGGTGAGGCTGAGGGACTTGGGTCTTTGTAGTGTGGACAAGAGAAAGCTGAGGGGGGATCTGGTCAATGCTTATAAATACTTAAAGGGTGGGTGTCAGGAGGACAGGGCCAATCCTTTTTCAGTGGTGCCCAGGGACAGGACAAGAGGAAATGGGCACAAACTCGCACAGAAGAAGTTCCATCTAAACTTGAGGAAGAACTTCTTTGCTGTGAGGGTGGCAGAGCCCTGGAAGAGGCTGCCCAGGGAGGTGGTGGAGTCTTCTTCTCTGGAGACATTCAAACCCACCTGGACACGTTCCTGTGCAACCTGCTGTGGGTGGCCCTGCTCTGGCAGGGGCTTGGAGGAGATGATCTCCAGAGGTCCCTTCCAACCCCATATCTTTCTGGGATTCTGTAATGAGAAATTACTTCAGAAACTTAAAATAAAAGCAGATCCTGAAACACTTCTGTGGTTGAAGGGTCTCTGGACAGATAGCACCCCATCACGTCAGGCTCTCCTGAGCTTGAGAGGGCAGCTGCTGTTTGTCCCAGCCCCCTGGAAACAGCCCAGCTATGACATGTCCCTGATACTACGACCTGCAGGGCGTAGTTTTTTCTGCTGCCCCAGGCAATTTGATAAAGGCTCTTTCCTCCCACCCCTGAATTAACCCTCCCAAACCCTAGCTGAACACCTAGCTCCAACAATAACGCATATGCTAGGGATTGTGCCTATTGGCTTAGTTCAAATTGGCTTAAATTGGTTGTTTCACACAAAGGAACACTTAAATTGATTCCGTCGTGTTTTCTGAACTGACAGCAATAAATATATATCAGGAGTTGGTTGCTACAGCTCTTTATGAATAAAGTTGTTTTTAAGAAGCATTATCCTTTTCTTGACACCAAGTATTTATGCAGCATAAAATAAAACTTGGTCTCCACCCCTTAGAGAAAGAAGGGGAAAGTCTTCAGCTGATACGTAATTGTTGAATATAAGAAACCATGAATTTCCATTTGCACTGCTGCATTTTCCTTAACCCCAAACCTAGAGGAAAAGTTCACATTAGGGGTTTTCTTGCCATTTGAGACCACTGGAGCTATCCAGCCATTTCCATGCTTTCTTATTATTTTACCAATATTTAATACCAAGATTTATAAAATACCAATATTTATCAAAGTTTTCCATCAGACAGTTAAAGATATGGACAGTATCTGGAGGCATGGTTCAGCCTTATCTTACACCACATGGAAAGTGTGTCTTCTATCCACCCTGTGCAGGGAGGGGACAGGGGTGCAGGGGATCCCTTTTCACTTGTGCCTGGGGAAGTAGCACCTGTGCCAAGGAGAAAGCATGGTTATTACCAACTATGGCCTACTTTTACATCAGTTCCCTGCCCTGTCAGATCATAGAATGGACCATAGAAGGGTTGGAATGGATCCTAAAAGATCATCCAGTGCCACCCCCTGCCCTGGGCAGGGACACCTCCCACCAGACCAGGTTGCTCCAAGCCCCATCCAACCTGGCCTTGAACCCCTCCAGGGATGGGGCAGCCACAGCTTCTCGGGGCAACCTGGGCCAGGCTCTCACCACCCTCACACCAAACAAGTTCTTCCCCACAGCTCATCTCAATCTCCCCTCTTTCAATGTTAAACCCTTCCCCCTCATCCTATGGCTCCCCTCCCTGATCCAGAGTCCCTCCCCATCTCTCCTGGAGCCCCTTGAGGGACTGGAAGGGGCTCAAAGGTCTCCCCGGAGCCTTCTCTTCTCCAGGCTGAGCCCCCCAACTCTCAGCTCCCCCTCCCAGCAGAGGGGCTCCAGCCCTCCCAGCATCTCTGTGGCCTCCTCTGGCCCCGCTCCAACAGCTCCATGTCCTGATGTTGGGGGCTCCAGAGCAGCATCTGCATAGGGTTTCCTGCACCATGCTGGAGTGATGGTTGGTTGGCAGCTGTGACCACACTGAGGCTGCAAGGGAAAGCAGAGGAGAAAAATCCCACACTGTATTCAGACAGTTGTGCACCCAGGGACCTGACCCCTACAAGCCATCAACTTGGAGCCCTGAAGATTTGGTTATCACGATGGTCCTGACACGAAGCTGCCAGCATCGTTAGCGTGCCAGGGTCACGGCGGGTGACCCTGCCCTGCCCGCGCCCCAAGGGTTGGCAGTGCCCCAACACCCCAGTACCCGTGTGTGCTGGTTTGATGGGTATTTTAGTGTATTTTCCTTCACCCCATGCCGGGGGGGCTGCATTTCCTATGACTGGGCAGAAAGAGGCTCCACCAAATCCCGTGATTCACAGGAAGACCCAAAATGATGCAGACAGTCCCTTTTCTTTCCTCCTTCCAGGTGCACGAAGGTGTGGAGTGGTGGTGGTGTCTTGGTGATGGAGGAGGGGAGCTTGGGGAACACCTGGCAGGAGAGGGGTGTTCTCCATCCATGGAGCCCCTCCAAGGATGCAAACACTCGTGGGAAGAGCATCCCCCATCCTGGCTTTCAGGGTGCCAGCCTTTACACACCCAGTCCCCCCTTAGGGATGGGAGAGGGGTCTGTGAGAGGACAGGGGACATCCCCACACCACCTTGGGAAGGGGGACATCAGCTCTGAAGACCGCGGGGTGGGGATGGGGGGGGATACCCGCACTCCTGCTGGCACGGGGACAGCCCTAAGAGAGGGAAGGGCGCAGGGACGGCCCCTGCCAGGAGAGGGGACCCGTACCTGCGGGGCCGGCCGCCCCATGGCCGCCGCCGGGCCGGGCCCGCTGCAGGCCTCCGGAGAGGGCGGTGGCGCCGCGGCCATGTT